GGGATGTCCCTGCAGGGTGGGATGTCCCTGCGGCATGCCTGTCAAGCTCCAGCTCCCAGCCCTGCCCTCCTCCTGCCCTACATTCCGCTTCCTCCCGCCCAGCGTCCTCCCCGTGCTCAATGGGGGCTTTGTTTGGAAGGAATGCAAACAAAATTCGGGCTGTGTGAAAAGGCCGCCTCATCATCTGTAGCTCTGCAGTGGACTGGAAAATTACGTTTTCTCCCTCCCTCTCAAACCAGTGGCCGTGGGTCTGTCACTTGTCCAGAACAGTCACCTTGTGATTTAGTGGCACAAGGGGGATCTTGGCAGGGGTTTGGGAAGGGGTAAAGTGATATGGAAATGGTTATGGACTTAAAGCTGTTGTGCTGATGCAGCTCCTGGCTCTTCATTAACATCTTATATCTGAGAGCGCTGGGAACACAAATCCCTTGAGGCAGTAGTTGTGTGTCCACCAGGACACTGAAGGTTGGAACCTGCACAGGTACAGGTGGGGCTGTGGGGTGGAGGGGCCTGAATTCAGTGCCCAGTGTGAGCTGGCAGCCCCTGGAGCTGCTCCTGGGCCGTGCCTGCCACGCCTGGCAGAGCAGAGCAGACTCAGTGTTTGTGCCAGGGCAGTGTTTGCACCAGCCAGGAACTCTGTGAGTGCTTCTGTCCTTCCTAAAGCTGAGTTCAGGTTTGTCACACCCGTGGAATCCCAGACTGGTTTGGGTGGGAAGGGAGCCCAGCCAGTGCCACCCCTGACACGACAGGGACACTTCCACTGTCCCAGGCTGCTCCCAGTGTCCAGCCTGGCCTTGGGCACTGCCAGGGATCCAGGGTGGGCACCCTGTGCCAGGGCCTGCCCACCTTGCCAGGGAACAATTCCCAATTCCCAATCTCCCACCCAGCCCTGCCCTCCGGCACTGGGAGCCATTCCCTGGGTCCTGTCCCTCTGTCCCTTGTCCCCAGTCCCTCTGCAGCTCTCCCTGGATCCCCTCCAGGCCCTGCCAGGGGCTCTGAGCTCTCCCTGCATCCCCTCCAGGCCCTGCCAGGGGCTCTGAGCTCTCCCTGGATCCTTCTCCTCTCCAGGCTGAACAATCCCAATTCTCCCAGCCTTTCTTACAGCAGAGCTGCTCCATCCCTCTGATCACCCTGGTGCCCCCTCTGGGCTCTCTGCAGCAGCTCCAGGTCCTTGTGCTGCTGGAATCCCCAGGGCTGGGGCAGATCTGCAGGTGGTTCTCACCTGGGCATGGGGCAGAATCCCCCCTGTCCTGGTGCCACACTGGGGGACCAGCCCAGGGCATTGGAAATTCGGGGCTCCCTGTCCAGCCTCACCCACCAACACCCCCAGGCTGCTCTAAGCAGCAGGGGGAGGACTGGGAATGGGAAGGAAATGTTGGGCCCTGTGAGGATTTACCTGCTGTGAGCTGTGCTGAAGGGTAGCAAACATTTCCCTGTATTAATTGGAACATCTGGAGTTTGTAAGGTTTTTGTAAGCCTGGCCTCCTTCTTCTAGGTTTTCCCCTGAATTCCAGCTTGTCCTGCTGAAGGTGATAAATATCTTACACTTAATGAGGGAGTAATTTCATGCTCATCTTTAATTCATGAGCTCTTTCATTATCCCCGTGTGATGAGGAGATGTCTGTTCTCCAGCCAGTCAGGTTTGTTACCCTCTTCAGCCCTTTCCTGAAGTGAATTTTCCTGGAAACCTCCCCAGATCTGTTTCCTGGGAAGCCTTTGTGTTTCTGCTGTTTGTTGTCAACAGCCTGAGTGGACAGGCACTACAGCCATGCAGCAGTTTCCTTTTGCCAGTCTGGTGGAACTCCTCTGGAGGTGTTTCCAGGGAAATAGATTGTTATTTATAACAACCTTTCTGTTCTGAAGCCTGAACTGGCATTATATTGGAATGGGAGCTGACTATAACATGGGATTAGAGATTTATTTTATCCCCAGATACTGGAGTTGGCTAAATCCCTCTCAGTGCAGAGAAGAGTTAATTTCTTTGGCTTGGTTAATAATTTACTTTATCTTAACACATAAAAAGTGGCTCTCAAACACTCTGCTGCATCTGGGCCCAGCCCAGAAGCAACTGTCACCATATAAAATATTTAATTTACATGTTTGGTGTTCATTTGTTTGGTTGTGTTGCCGGGGACACGACGTGGCAGCAAACAGCTCCCCAAGATGCTGAAAAAAAATGCAGGGCTGGGTGGATGTGGGGCAGTTTTGATTCTTAGCAATCAATCATTGAGCAGGTTTTTATTTCCAGTCACGTTTGTGTGATAGTTCCTGCATTGATTCATAAATGTAACCTAAAGTGAGGGATGCAGCAGTGCTGGGCTGGCTGGAGAACAAAGAGCTCTGCCCTGGGATGGGTGGGAAGCTCCAGGATTAATGAATGCCCAGCCTTGGCCTCAAGTCACTTAAATCCCAGAATTCTTCAGGTCAGAAAAGCCCTCCAGGATCATCAAATCCCAGCTGTGCCCAATGCCTGTGGGAATCCAGAGCTCCCCTCTGGCTGCCCTGGGACCCTGGCAGGGGTCAGGAACCCCCCTGGACAGAGCCCCCAGAGACACTGGCTGTGATCTCTGTCCATGGAAAAGAGTTTTCAATCTTACAGGATGAATTACCAGCTCTGAGTGTTTGATAAGAGTAATAATTAAGTGTGGCACAGGTGCAAAAGTAAAATTTTAGATTTCTAGATTAGGGGTCCAGAGGGGACAAGATGGAGGAATTGGGTGTGTTTTGTCCTTTTTCTCCTCCTTCATGCCCTCCATGTTTCACTGTGGTGTTGGCATTTTTCTGTTGGTTCAGGCTGGGGACACACTGTCCAACGTAGGTGACAGATATTGGCACGTTATTGTAAATCCAGCACAGGTAGTTTGTGATATTTAATGTTTGTAACATCCCACTGAGGGCAGAGCCCCACACGCTGCCCTGCAGGACAGAATAATAAACAGAATAAACAACCTTGAAACCAGCACAGATGAATTATGGCTTCTGCTTTGGCAGCGGGGCAGAAAGACAGAGAATTTCTACAATCTCAGAATCACCAATACCACAGATTCTGACACATGCCCACCTTGTCCCCAGCCCAGAGCTCTGAGTGCCACATCCAGGAATTCCTGGGACATCTCCCGGGATGTCCCCCCCGTGCCCAGCCCAGAACTGAGAATTTTTGGGCCCAAGAAGTTCTGTCTGCTGGGTCTTGGCTAAAAGGAGTTCAAGGCAGAGCTCCCATGCAAACTTCTTATGTAACGGTACATTTCATAAATTCTGTTTAATCTTGCTTGGTATAAAGTGACCTTGTAGATTTAAGAGGGAAGTTTGGGATTGCAGCTGCTGCCTTTTTAAAAGTCTAAATATAAACAGGGTTTTGGAAAGCATGAGGAATGATCAGTGGTGTTCTCTGATTGGAATTGAAAGCCGGGATGGTGGCATGTAATTAATGTCAGAGCAGTTTGAGGGGATGGTTTGGAGCGTTCCTGCTGCTCTGCTGGAGCTCTGCTGTAGTTCTTGTAGGCAGCTTTGGGAAGAAAAGGTTGGATCCTGGGGCAGCTCTGGGCCCCTCCTGCCAGGAGAGACCTGGAGGGGCTGGAGCGTGTCCAGGGAAGGGAACGGAGCCCCAGGAGGGGCTGGGGGAGCTGGGAAGGGGCTCAGCCTGGAGAAAAGGAGGCTCAGGGGGGACCTTGTGGCTCTGCACAGCTCCTGACAGGAGGGGACAGCCAGGGCGGGTCGGGCTCTGCTCCAGGGAACAGGGACAGGACACGGGGAAATGGGCTCAGGCTGGGCCAGGGCAGGCTCAGGGTGGGCAGCAGCAGGAATTTCTGCCTGGAAAGGGCGCTCAGGCCTTGGCACTGCCCAGGGAGGGGTGGAGTGCCCATCCCTGAAGGGGTTTTACTGCTCTGTGCATGTGGCACCTGGGGACTTTCTGTGTTGGTACTGAAAGTAAAACCTTTTTCATGCTCTGTGCTTGGCTGAGCTCTCAGAGTCTGGGTGACACTTCTGCCAAGGCCTGGCTTTGCCTGTCCCATACCCAAGGCTGAGGCTCTGGACAGGGAGATTGAGCTCTGATAATTCTCCTTTTCTTGCTGGTTTAAGCTTCGAGCAGCTTGAACCGTTCTGCATCCCTGTGGCAGCTGGGGATGAGGAATGAGGCTGCCAGAGCTCCGGGAGCCTTTGGCAATGCCCTCAGGCACAGGGGGGATTGTTGGGGTGTCCTGGCAGGGCCAGGAGTTGGACTGGATGGGGATTTTGGAAGGAGTTTTAAATAAGTTAGAGATGGGACTTCTGAGATTTTAGATAATGTCATTTATTGTTCTTATTCTTTGCATAGACAAGAAGGGTGAGTTTGGCTTACATTGTTAAAGCATGGCTCAGAAGGTCTCAAGACCCTTAGTTACAAGACTTTTTAAGGAGTTATTGACTAATGTAACACTGCTAATAAGGATACTTCTGTTTTTGACCCAATCCTTAAATATTTCATCTTATGGACTTATGTTACAGTGTAAGCTTTCTTAGCTAATTATGTTGTGACACACAAACTTCCAGTACTGCATTCTAAACTTCTTGTTTACCTTTGTAACTACTTTATTATTTCACACCTTAGACTCTAAAACTCTAACCTTTCTGAGACACTGTCCCTGCTTTAAATTATAAATCCACGTTCTCACTTTCAGCACTTAAGTTTGGAAGCCTTTTTTAAGGTCTCAGATCAAATCCTGTGTTTAATTCTAAGCTTTGGCTTACAGGCCCAGGGTTCTGAGAGTTCTCTGTATTTTGGGTTGCAGCAGGCTGGATGGTCCCTGTGGCTCCTTCCTGCTCAGGGTGTTCCAGCTGTGCTGTGTCCCAGCTCCCTTCCCATTCCAGTGTCCCTGGACATCCCTGCTTTACCTGGCAGTTCAGTGAAAGAAGAAAAAAAAATCCCCTGCTCTGTCTCAGCCATTCAGAGTTCATGTGGAATTGATTTTTTTATAAATAAATAAACACTAATTACTTATTTATGTGTTTGTTTATTTTAGGGATAGACTTCAAGATTAAAACTGTTGAATTGCAAGGAAAGAAGATCAAGCTACAGATCTGGTGAGTAACTCAGAGCTTCCTTCAGCAGCAGGTGTTGCTGGGGAGGGTTTGCTCTTGCTGGATTCCCTTCAGGGCTGCAGTTTCCAGCTGTGTTCTGTGTTTCCACAGCTCCACGTGTGTTTCTGCAGCAGTTGCAGTGTTGTAACCACTGGGCCTGGCTGCTCTCTGGGTCAGGCTGCTGGCAAACCTCCTGTGGTGGGGGGGGGAGAGCATCCTCACAGGCTGTGATTTAGTGGGAAGTGGTTTTAAACTGGAATCTTTAAATTAGGAGTTGCCTCCAGTCCGTGGCTATAAATTGACTCGTAGCCTTGCTTTGTGTCAGCAAGAAAATGCAATCCAGGGCTGCAGCAGGGCTGGAATTTTCCATGCTCAGCTGTGGAGAGGTTCTGTGTGACAAGAGGTACAGCCTCAGCTCCTTCCTTTGAGCTTCTGTGCTTTGAAGCAGAGGCTTTTCACCAGCTCAGGCCAGCAGAGCCAGGGGCTGTGGGGCTGGCTGGGCTCCCTGCTCACTTCTGCATTCTCCAGCTCCACTGAAGGAAGGGCTCTGAGCTGGGATTTGTCCCTTTTGTGCCACTCAAAAACCCCATGGCTTTGTAATGTTGGTGTCTGTAGATGCAGCTGGGTGTTTTCCAGTTTGGGGGAGCACTGATCTTTCCAGCCATCCCAGGATAACCATTCCAGGATAATCAGGAGTGATTATCCTTCCTAAGCAGGGCATCTGGAGCCCTCCTGTCAGCAGCACCCCGAGGAAGTGTGAGAACTGACAGAGAGCAGGTTTGGATGGGATTTGGGGAATAATTAGGAATTGTTCCCTGGCAGGGTGGGCAGGCCCTGGCAGCTGTGGCACCCCTGGATCCCTGGCAGTGCCCAAGGCCAGGCTGGGAGCACTGGGACAGTGGAGGTGTCCCTGCCACGGCAGGAGTGGCACTGGGTGAGCTTTCAGGTCCTTTCCAACTCAAAACATTCAGTGACTCTATGATTAAACTTAAAAAGAAATTAATGAAATGTAAAACCAGAAAATACAGAAAAAATTAGGATATTTAATGCAGGTGTAAAGAGCAAGATGTAAATGAAGCTGCAGAGATTGTGGGGTTTAGTGCCTTAGGGAAGTGGAGTTGGGTGAGCTGAGATTTATACAGTGGCAACTTTTAAATGTCACAAAATTGGGAAGTTGTGGCCTGAATCTACTGCTTGTTTCTACCAGATTCAGATTGCACATTCGAAATGAAACTTGGAAAGCAGAAAATGAAACTCCTACAGAAAAAAAATATTAAAATAAATAAAATCTCAGTGTTGTTTCCTACTTTTCCTGTAGTTTGCCCAGCAGTTGCTCAGTGTCTTGTGGAGGTGTTTTGTGCAGTGCATCTCTATTTCCCCACTGCTTCCTGCCTTTGAACTCCCTCCAGACTTGCAGGAGCTGTGCAGCATTCCCAGAACAATGCAAGGCAGCAGCTGAGTGAGCAGGGGATGGATTTAGAGGAACATTTCCTGTGTAAACCTGAGCATGTTCTGCATCTGCTCTTCTTAAACCTCAGGAGATTCCCGTGGGCCACTTCTGGAGCTCGTCCAAGTCCCTCTGGATGGGCCTGTCCTTCAGGTGTGGCACCACACCACTCCACACAGCAGGACAGCTCCTTACCTCTTCTGGGTGTGGGAAAGGGCCTCTGACAGCTTCACAGCCATGCCCTGACCTCTGAAATTATATTTAGGACTAAAGAACACAAAGGTCAGGCTGAATTAAAGCCTGCCTGGGGTGAGAAGCAACTCGATACCCAGTAGCTGTTGAAGCTGAGGGGCTGGATCAGAGTTCTTCTGCTGCTCCAAAGGGAAATGCACCTGCAAGGAGCAGGGTGGGACACAGCCCTTCCAAGGAAATGAGCCCATCCAGGGCAGATCCAGCAGGAGAACTGCAAGGAGCAGGGTGGGACACAGCTCTGGGCTGCCCTTCCAAGGAAATTAATCCATCCAGGGCAGATCCAGCAGGAGAACTGCAAGGAGCAGGGTGGGATGTAGCCCTGGGCTGCCCTTCCAAGGAAATGAGCCCATCCAGAGCAGATCCACCAGGAGAACTGCAAGGAGCAGGGTGGGATGTAGCCCTGGGCTGGCCTTCCAAGGAAATGAGCCTGTCCAGATCAGATCCAGCAGGAGAACTGCAAGGAGCAGGGTGGGACACAGCCCTTCCAAGGAAATGAGCCCATCCAGGGCAGATCCACCAGGAGAACTGCAAGGAGCAGGGTGGGATACAGCCCTGGGCTGATCTTCCAAGGAAATGAGCCCATCCAGGGCAGATCCAGCAGGAGAACTGCAAGGAGCAGGGTGGGACACAGCTCTGGACTGCCCTTCCAAGGAAATGAGCCTGTCCAGATCAGATCCAGCAGGAGAACTGCAAGGAGCAGGGTGGGACACAGCTCTGGGCTGCCCTTCCAAAGAAATTAACCCATCCATGGCAGATCCACCAGGAGAACTGCAAGGAGCAGGGTGGGACACAGCTCTGGGCTGCCCTTCCAATAAAATTAACCCATCCAGGGCAGATCCAGCAGGAGAACTGCAAGGACCAGGGTGGGACACAGCCCTGGACTGCCCTTCCAAGGAAATGAGCCCATCCAGGGCAGATCCACCAGGAGAACTGCAAGGAGCAGGGTGGGACACAGCTCTGGGCTGCTCTTCCAAGGAAATGAGCCCATCCAAGGCAGATCCAACACTGTGTATCAGATTCTGGGTGGAATCTCAGATCCTCGAGGAACTGAGGATCTCCTTGGCTGGGTCATTGTCCAGCTCCTCTTTGGGAGAATTACTGCTGGGACAGTCACTAGTGATGGGCCTGCTCCAGGAGCTGGGAAAAAGGAATTCATGCACATTTGGGAGTGGAAACTCTTACAAAGACTGGGGGCTGGAGGGGTTTGCAGTGCTGAATGGCTGGAAAAATATTAACTCTGTCATGGTGCAGAGAAGGAATGAAGGACCAGAGTGAGAGATCCAAGAAAAGATGGTGCTGGCTTTGCTGAAGGACTTCAAAGGGACAGGGTAGTGGAGCTAAAAATTGAGTGTGGTATCTCTGTCACACATTCAGGAACTCAGGTAGAGTTGTTGTGAAATGGAAACCACAAGGCTTTGGCATCCCTGAGTTCCCAGAACTCATTAACATAACGGAGCCATTGAGAAACGAAATGGGATTTTCCTGATGGTGTGGGCAGGAGGTGAGTGTGGCAGCCCCACAGAACACGGGTTTGGTCAGCACTGCCTGGGGAGAAAGGGACTTTGTTATGGAAGAACAACTGGAAAAATGAGGGTTCTTTGTGATGGCAGAGCACATCTTGAAAATCCTGGATATCCTGAACAGGCGGGGAGGGTCTGATAGAACTTGCTGCCTTTTTCCAACACCAACATCAGTTCTGGCCTGAGGCTGGAAAATGGCTTGTGGAAAACATCAGGAAATGAAGTTTTGCTGGGAAACTCCTCGTGGGATGCAGGGGTAGCTGCAGGTGTCCATGGACAGGTTCACAAGGGGTTTCACAAGAGCACGGTCAGGTTTGGACTCCCAAATCCACAGAGGGAATCCCTGGTTCCAGAACTCCTTACCCACTGGGAAATGGAAGCTGGAAAACCTCAGGGCTGCCCAGGTACAGCTCTGAGGTGCTTGTCAGGAGACACAAAGAGCAGAGCTGGGTTTGTCATCCAGGCAAAGCACAGGCTCGAAGGAATGCAACTGGTGGCTAAAAACCTCATTTTTTATTTTTTTCCTACTTAGCTGCTCCTCCAGCTCTGCTATCTTCAGTGACATTTGTGTGTCAGCCTGTTTTCCTACAGTCTTCCTGACTGATTCCAAATTTTAGGAACAGCTTTGTGTCTTCAGTGTGCAGCTCCTGGCTGTGTGGAGGACTATAAAATAACATTTTTCTCTCAGTGCATCTTTGCAGGCAACACATTTCCATGGCCAGAGAAGTGTCCTCAGGATCTTGGTTAACTCAGCAATGAGCTCGTGTCAAAAAGAATTGTGTGGTGTGGCCATCCTGAGGCATCCCAGGGGTGGGAATTGCCTGTGATGGGCAGGTTCTGGTGTTCAGGGAGCCTGTGGTGACCAGAGCTGCACACACCTCCACTCCCAGGTGCCATCAGCCTCATTCATCTCTGCCATCACCCTTAGAATGTCTAGAAATTAATTCTGTTTGCTGAGGGCTTTTGAGGCTCGAGGTGAGAGATGTTCCTCTGGCGTGGCAATCCTATAAAACAGTTGGATAATTCTCTTTACGGATTTCTCGTTAGTGGATCTCGTTATGGGAGGTGGGGGTGCTCAGCCTGGAGAAAAGGAGGCTCAGGGGTGACCTCAGCACTCCCCACAGCTCCAGGGAAATTTAGGCTGGATATTAGGGAAAAGTTCTTCCCAGAAAGGTGATAAAGTTCTGGGATGGCTGCTCAGGGAGGTGGTGGAGTCCCCATCCCTGGGTGTGTTTAACAAAACCTGGATGTGGCATCAGCGTTTAGTTGGGGTATTTGGGCTGGGTTGGACTTGATGGTCTTGGAGGTCTCTTCCAACCCAGTGATTCTGTGAATTCTGGGAATGTTTTCCTGGCTGAGTATTATTCAGAAAAGCTGAAATTTGCCAGTCAGAGCACAGAACTCCGGGATCCCTGAGGTGGGAAAATCCCTTCATGGCCATGGAGCTCAGGCAATGCCAATCCCCACCTTGTCCCCAGCCCACTGGGTGCCACACCCTGGTTTTTTTTAAACCCCTGCAGGCATGGGCACTCTAAACTCCCTGGGCAAGGCCTGAGCACCTTTCCATGGATCCAGCCTGTCCAGATCCCTCTGCAGAGCTTCCTGCCCTGCAGCACAGTTCTGCAAAAGTAACAACAGTGGGACAGTAATAAAATTCTTGGGATTATTTTGCTAGGAATTACTTGATTAATATGTTAAAAACCTTCATTTTGAGCCACGTGGACTGGCAGGATGCTCACAAATCATCAGAGCTGATCTTTCCTTGCTGCAGCCGTGTAAATCTTTCATCAATAAATGATAATACATTTTAAGGTTTCTTTAGTCTCTGCCAGGTCAGCTGGAAAGCTGTCCCAGAAATTCCTTTCTCTCTAGGTTAAACCTCTAATATGATACAGCTTATGCATATTTTAATGTTGGCATGAGAATAATTCCAATAGACTTTTCACTTTCCTTGAGCTTCTCCTTTCCCCAGTCCCACAGGACAGCCTCCTTTGTCTTCACAAAGCTGAACATCCAAACTCCCTCCCTTCCCTGCCGTGTCTCCTTCTCCTTGGCTGTTTCAATAATCCTTGCCCACATTCATGGCAGCTGGCAGGGCGAGCCAGTTTGTGCCTCCAGCCAGAGCTTTGGAGCCTGCTGCACCTCCCAGAGGTTTGAACAAAGGGCTGGGGAGCCAGGGCAGCAGCCAGCCCTGGTGCTCCCACTGTCTCCTGCCTGTGCCCAGCGAGGATCCAGCCCTGGTGGGCACCAGAGAGCCATAACTCATTTCCTGTTTGCCTCAGCCAGCTCTAATCTCCAGCCATTAGGAGTTATCTCTGAATAATGAATGGAGAATCCATTAACCAGGGGAAAGGGCAGCTGTAGTATTTATTAAAAAAAAAAACCAAAGGGAAACACACCAGGTTCTTTGCTTCTTCCCTCCCCAGCTTTCTTCTCTTCCATTAGCTGAGCTGCAGTTGGCAGGAAAAGCAGTGGAGGAGTTAACCAGGCGAGTCAGTTGTAGGATGTGACAAGCAGTGAGTAGCAGCTCCGTGCTGCCAACACCAAGCTGTGTGAAACCACTCGGAATCGGTGCTGTGACAGCTGCTGGCCGTGGCAGGAGGGAGGAACCACAGATCCCAAAAGTCTGCTGGGGTTGGTCAGGCTTCTCCAGCACCATCCTGCTGCTAGGAGCCAGGGGGAGGGAGTAACCTGGGGGAAGGGGCTGGCAAGTGGGTACAGAGCTGGGGAGAGAGAAAAGAATGAGGGTGTGAGTGGAGATCTGTGGGGATATTTTACAGGAGTTTGTCCTGAGTGGAGGAAAGGATCCCTCTCTCTCTCTGGGACATGCTAGGAAAGGATTAAACTATCAATTAAACATAAATTAAAGAATTAAACTCCCCCAAATTACTTCATAGAATCCTAGAATGGTTTGGGTGGGAAGGGACCTTAAAGCCCATCCTGTTCCAACCCCTGCCTTGCAGGGACACCTTCCAAACCATCCCAGATTGCTCCCAGCCCAGTGTCCAGCCTGGCTTTGGGCTCTGCCAGGGATCCAGGGTGGGCACCCTGTGCCAGGGCCTGCCCACCCTGCCAGGGAAGAGTTAACAGCGGGGACAAGGAGAGAGACACCTTTTCAAGCCAGAAAAGGTGAAGCTGTAAAGTTTAAATCCAGTCAAGGAGTAGATTTAAACTAATAATAATTCCAGCTGGCTGGAGAAACGTCACTGGAAAAAGTCCTGTGAAATTCAGTGCAGCCAAATGCCAAGTCCTGGAGTTCAGTGTGGGATGCCAAAGCAGTGTGCTCCTCGTGAGGAGTGGGATGAGGAAACAGGAATGCCTGGAGATGTCCCAGCGTGGGGCTGGATATCCTGGGTGTCCTGGGACATGGGCAGTTGGGAAGAGCCCGGAGGCAGTGGGAGCTGGGGCTCCACCTGAGCCCCTTGGGCAGCCAGTGCAGGCTGGGGAAGGTTCCAGCAGCACATCGAACATCTCAGGCACAGTGTGGGACCCCTGGGTGGGATGTGGAGCTGGGAGTGGAGTCAGTGACCTCCCGAGGCCACAGGCAGGGATCCAGGCCTGTCAGGGCATCCCTGCAGAGGCTGCTGGGCTGGGGACCCCCCTGCTGTGGGTCAGGGGCTGTGGGTCAGGGAGACATGGGCCTTTCTGGGGGGGTTACGGGGTGTGTAACCTTGCTTTAAATTTGGAGACTCCTTGGGGTCTACCTCATCATGGAATCACTGAATCACAGAATGGTTTGGGTTGGAAGGGACCTTAAAGTTCATCCTGTTCCACCCCTGCCATGGCAGGGACACCTCCCACTGTCCCAGGTGGCCCCAAGCCCCAGTGTCCAACCTGGCCTTGGGCACTGCCAGGGATCCAGGGGCAGCCACAGCTGCTCTGGAATACATTTTTTCTAAATTAATTTTTTAAAATTAATTTTTTAATTTAAAAAAATTAAAACAAAACGTTTAAAAACTAAAACTATTCTCCATCAAAGCAAGTGGGGAGGTGCATGTCCATGACAAGAGTGCGGTGTCTCCGCAGGGACACGGCGGGGCAGGAGCGCTTCCACACCATCACCACCTCCTACTACCGAGGGGCCATGGGCATCATGCTGGTGTACGACATCACCAACGCCAAGAGCTTCGAGAACATCAGCAAGTGGCTCAGGAACATCGATGAGGTGAGTGCCAGGGGGCCCCGAGGCTCCCCTGAGCTCTGCTCTGCCAGGGCTTTCCAGCTTCCCTTTTCCTCTGCCAGGTCAGGACTGAAGGCACTCGAGAGGATAGGTCACATTCAGACTCTGTTTGTTATTTTTTATTTATCTTACAGTCTCACAGCAGTGAGTTCTGCAGTTCTTCACTAGCACAAAATAGCCAACTATCTCTTGGTACAGGGTCTTTTAAGGCTAAACTATCCAATTAAGAAATGACACAAATTCATCCTCCACGAGTTCTGAGATGGCAAGAGAGCAGCACAACTGGCAGTTCCTGCTGTTGTTAGGCTGCTCCCAAGTGGAACAAATGTTTGGATTTCCCTAGAAAGCACAGAGGTGGCCCTGTAGAACTGAGCACAGGTGAGGCACTGCTCAGTGGAGCCCTGAGGCTGGAGAAAGCAGCACAGCAAAAATGAGATGTTGGGATTTGGATTTCCCAGCATGAGAAGTGGGACAGGGTGGTGTTTGTGGACTGTGTTGGGAACAGGACAGGAAGAGACTCAGCAATGGGTTGGAATAAATTTGAAACTGAAGCCTTTGGATTCTGCAGTAGCTTTGTTAAAAAACTCAGAGTTGTCCCAGGTGAGGGATGGATGTCATTGGTACCATCGGGGCTTTTGGTGGCCTTGTGTTTTCAGTGTGGCCCACAGCTGATTTCAGGTGCATTGTGGAGGCTGCTCAGGGGCTGTGGCTGACAAATTAGGGACAAAACAATCCTGTTTTTGTTACTGGAGAAGCTCAGGAGTGGAGTGTCTTTGCAAAAATCACAGAGGCATTTGGCCCCCTGATTTCCTCCCCAGTCCCTCTTTCTCCCCTGGCTCATCCCTCACGTTGTGCAGTGGCAAAGCCAGGAGGAGAAAACCATTAACCAGTGCTAGGAAGTCATTAGGAGGCTGGGGTTAATTAACAGCTCGTTCCTCTGCCACTGCAGTGCCTGCAGCTCCACGGTGGGCAAAATGTCCCCAAATTTCAGGTCTGGCCACACCAAAGTGAGGCAGGAATTTTGGTGTGCAGGGGGAGGGAGGTGTGGGAGCCTGTAACCCAATCCCTGTGTCCTTCCAGCACGCCAACGAGGATGTGGAGAGGATGCTGTTAGGAAACAAGTGCGACATGGAGGATAAAAGAGTTGTCCCTAAAGCAAAAGGTGAACAGGTGAGTAGCAAACAAAAACTTCTTTATCCAAGTCAGCAAATCACTGCCAAGATTTCTGCCTGCCCCAGTGGGATGTGCCAGGGCATGAATGCAGGAGCTGATGGATGTGAATCCTGAGAATGTTTTCTCAGAAACTGCCGTGAATGGGATCAGTTCAGCTGCAGTTTCTGCTTCCTTTGATAACTCATAATTTCCAGTCCATCCCTGAAGTTCCTCATCGTGTCACACTGTGTGTGGTGTCCGTCCTCTTAAGCACAGATTTGGGATTATTGAGTAGATTTTAATTGTTCTCACTGGTGACATTCTGACTCTTCTGAGCCACCTCACCTGGCTGCTGCTGCTGGTGCCTGTTGGAAGGGAGTCACAGAATCCCTGGGGCTGGGGAAGAGCTCCCAGACATTGAGTCCAACCTGTGCCCAATCCCCACCTTGTCTCCAGCCCAGAGCTCTGAGTGCCACATCCAGGAATTCCCTGGACACCAAACCCGCCTGGGCAGCCCCTGCCAAGGCCTGAGCGCCCTTTCCAGGCAGAAATTCCTGCTGCTGCCCACCCTGAGCCTGCCCTGGCCCAGCCTGAGCCCATTTCCCCGTGTCCTGTCCCTGTTCCCAGGAGCAGAGCCCGACCCCCCCTGGCTGTCCCCTCCTGTCAGGAGCTGTGCAGAGCCACAAGGTCCCCCCTGAGCCTCCTTTTCTCCAGGCTGAGCCCCTTCCCAGCTCCCCCAGCCCCTCCTGGGGCTCCGTTCCCTTCCCTGGACACGCTCCAGCCCCTCCAGGTCTCTCCTGGCAGGAGGGGCCCAGAGCTGCCCCCAGCACTGGAGGTGCCCCCTGGCCCTGCTGCCACCCCAGAGCTGGCACAGCCCAGGGGCTTCTTGCCCACCTGGGCACACCTGGGCTCGTGTCCAGTCTGGTATTCCCTGCTTTATGAATGCTGCTGATCCCAAAGTGGTGGTATTCCTGGAATATCCCCAGCATCTCTAACCTCCCTCTCTCTGTTTGCTGCAGATTGCCAGGGAGCACGGTATTAGGTTTTTTGAAACTAGTGCAAAAGCAAATATAAACATTGAGAAGGCATTCCTCACATTAGCAGAAGACATTCTTCGAAAGGTAGGTGCTCACAGCATTCCTTTGGAACAAATATCCTGAATTTCCAGCTCTCTCTGTTGTGACGTTCCCCTGCCTTGGTGCAGTTTGACTTTGCTGTGCTGAGGCAAAGGAGTCCCTGAAGGAGCAGGGCTGAACTTCTGAAGCTTGTTGGGTGTTTTGTTGTTGTAGGGTGCTTGCTTACAGGGAGGGACATCCATCAGCGCCAAGGAACTGAAATCCCTGTTAGTTTGGCCCTGAAATCCCTGTTAGTTTGGCCCTGAAATCCCTGTTAGTGGTGGTTGTGCCTGGAGAGCCTGCCCCACTCTCTGCTTTCTGCTCCCCATTCCTCCCTCATTTCTCTCTGTGGGTCCTGCCCCTGATTTCCTGCCCAGTCCCTCTTTCCCCCTGGCTCATCCCTCACGTTGTGCAGTGACAAATCGGGGAGGAGAAAACCATTAACCAGTGCTAGGAAGTCATTAGGAGGCTGGGGTTAATTAACAGCTCGTTCCTCTGACTCGTCCATTGGGTGGGGAGAATTGTCCTTTGCTGCCACTGTCTGTCAGTGCACTGCCAGCTCCTGTGGGGCTGTTGGGAGGGGTTCAGGTGTGGAGGGTGTTGCCCCAGATCTGCTGGTGGTTGGCTCCCCTTCCTGAGCGATGCAGCGTGCCCCAGAGCCACGGAATCAGCGAGGCTGGAAAAGCTCTCTGAGAGCACCAAATCAAATCATCCCCCACCACTGATCCGTGTCCCCAAGTGCCACATCCACAGGGCTCTCAAATCCCTCCAGGAATGGCAGCTGGGCCAGAGCTGGGCAACCTTTCCAGCAAGAAATTGTTCTCTGTATCCAATCTGAACCCTCCTGGCCCAGCCTGAGGCCATCTCCCCTTGTCCTGTCCCTGTCCCCTGGCTGTCCCCTCCTGTCAGGAGCTGTGCAGAGCCACAAGGTGCCCCCTGAGCCTCCTTTTCTCCAGGCTGAGCCCCTTCCCAGCTCCCCCAGCCCCTCATGGGAGCTCTGTGGAGCTCCAGGCACATGGTTGGTCATCCCTGGCACTCCTGTTCCTGTTCCTACACAAACAAACCCCGTCCTGAGCCTGTCTCAGCCCTGCTTTCCTCCCTCTCCCCTGGGAATGCCGTGGATAATGTCACCCAGTTGTCACTGCAGTCCTCAGTCATTCCTTAATTAGTTTTTGACAAGCTTTGTGTGATAAACAGGGTGAAAACCCCTGGCCTTTGGTGAACAGGAGCTCAGGCTATAAACCACACCAACCTTTGGGCCTCAAATCTTCATTTTTAACCTCTGTCATTATCTCAGGGGTTCTTTTGCAAGGCTGTGCCAAAGAGAGTTTAAAAAGGAATGTGGAGAGTGAAGTGTGGTGAGGGTTCAGGTTCCTTTCCAAGCAGCTGGGAGTAGATGTTGGTGTTGGATCAGACCCACTGGAGTGGGGTTTTGGCTTTGGTGTCACCAAGCTCCGTCCTGTGTGTTGCGTCCTTCCTCGGGAGCTGCTGTCCCAGAGGCTGGGAACGAGCCCAGTTTATCCATAAAAACTGTGGGTTTTGGAGGTCATTAGTTCACATATCTGAGTTCAGCTTGTGGTGTTTGCAGGATTTTCTTACTCCACCAAACCCAGCGCTGGCTCTGCGTGCAGAACCTAAAATAGTTCCAGTTGACTTTGGGGTGATCCCAGTTCAAGCACTGGGGTTTTTTTCCCAGCTTTGCTGCTGTTTATTTAAAACAAACCCAACAACAACAACAACAACAAAAAAACCCTTAAATTGGATTTGCACATTTGTGCTGGAGTGGGGGGAGGATTCCCCGCGGTTCTGAGGAGCTCTTTGTGCACAGTTCCCTCTGCTGATGTCAGTCCCAGCTCTGGGTGTTTTCCTGGGGATCTCCAGAGCCATCTAACTATAGATTTCCTTGTTTCCTTGCAGACCCCTGTAAAAGAGCCCAACAGTGAAAATGTAGATATCAGCAGTGGCGGTGGGGTGACGGGCTGGAAGAGCAAGTGCTGCTGAACCTTCTCCTCTCTCACCAATCGCCATCCACCGCCCCTTTTTTCTCGCTGCAAAACAAACCACTCTGCCCGTTTTTTAACCTGAAACCAATGTTTTTGTTCCTCATCTTAACGAGCTCCTGCCTCCCCTTGGTTTTCCGGCTAGGACAGCTTTGCCTACTCCAGTTTTCTCAACACATGTATAGGAAATTCATCTCCGTGACTTCATTTCCATGTCCCCGCTCAACTCGCCACTACGTTTGGGTTGTATTATAGTCCCGTCCCTCCTGCCATTAAACCCCAGAGCAATCATACTCAACTCTCTTCTGCAAATTGTATAAGAATAAAGGTTAGAATTAACAATTGATTTTGTACAACAGTGGAATTTTCTGTCATGGATAATGTGCTTGAGTCACCATATTCTCTAGATGCATCAGGCAAGAGCCAAGAAAAACTCATTTTCGCCTTGAGTCCGTGAGTGGGGTTTCTTTGTCCTGTGCCTTATGTGGAAAAAGGAACTTTTATTTTCACTTTCTTTTCTCTTTTCTGGTGGAAGCATGTGCAGGAGACATCCCATCCCCCGTGCCATTGAGTCCCCACCTCTGTAGTGGTTGCTTTCTGTAACGTTGGTGTCATGCATCGAGGACAAAGGGTGGTGCAAAACAAAAGCAAACTCCATGTAACCTGCTGTGTCTCCTCTTGCCAATCCCGCCCTTCCCAACTCTTCCTGCTGCCATTTTTTCCTCACTTTGCCTCTCTTTCCTTTCTTTTTTTTTTTTTGGTTGTTTTGTTTTGGTTTTTTTTTCTTTTCTTTTGCCTGCATGCTGCTTTGATTTGCATTTCTCCATGGTGTGATGTGTTAATGGAAAGGATGGCAACGCGGTGTGTTTGCCAAAAATTTAATACAAAGCACTGATTTAGCTTCCGAGGTAAAAATGTTGAGATTCCTCCTAACCCCCCTAGGCCTGTCCGTCACTAGTGGTCCCCTCCTCCCTCCCTCATAGCCCCGGCCTTTCCCCCATATGGAAGAGTTATTTGCATGCACTAGTTTCTATGGAGGGTGATGTGGTTGTCTACTTTCTGTGTATGAATATAACCTGGATTCCCAAACTGACAGCAGTTCATTAACACGATCCCAGCTCCTTCCCCGCCGGCCGCTCCGAGGGCTGCAGGGCCGGGCCAAGGCTGAGAGGGACTGGATGGAAAAAGGAAAGGAAAGGAAAGAAACCAGCCGGCGGGCAGTTTAATTTATTACCTCCCTGGAAACTTTCCGCTTGCCGGTGTCTGCAGCCGCGCTGGGCCAGCCCTGCTCCGGATCCCGGTGGGTGATTCCAGCCGGGCTGATCCCGGGATGGAGCGGCGATCCCTGCCGGGATGATCCCGGGATGGAGCGGCGATCCCTGCCGGGATGGAGCGGTGATCCCTGTCGGGCTCATCCCGGGATGGAGCGGTGATCCCAGCCGGGCTCATCCCGGGATGGAGCGGTGATCCCTGGCCGGGATGATCCCGGGATGGAGCGGGGATCCCGGCCGGGATGATCCCGGGATGGAGCGGGGAATCCCTGCCGGGATGATCCCGGGATGGAGCGGTGATCCCGGCCTGGCTCATCCCGGGATGGAGCGGCGATCCCGGCCTGGCTCCTCCCGGGATGGAGCGGTGATCCCGGCCTGGCTCATCCCGGGATGGAGTGATGATCCCGGCCGGGCTGATCCCGGGATGGAGCGGTGATCCCTCCCGGGATGGAGCGGTGATCCCGGCCGGGATGATCCCGGGATGGAGCGGTGATCCCTGCCGGGATGATCCCGGGATGGAGCGGTGATCCCTGCCGGGCTCATCCCGGGATGGAGCGGCCGTTCCAGCGCTCCCAGCCGCTCCTGCCGCTGTCCCCGGCCGTGCTGGCCCTGTCCTGCCGCTGTCCCCGGCCGTGCTGGCCCTGTCCTGCCGCTGTCCCCGGCCGTGCTGGCCCTGTCCTGCCGCTGTCCCCGGCCCCGGGCCCGGTCCCGGCGCTGTCCCGGGACTGTCCCCGCTCCGCCCCGGCTGCAGTCGCCAACGCTGAGTGAATTTGAATGAAATGACGGTGTTTGAACCCGGAGCTCCCGGGCGGGGACTCCCCGAGGTGTGTCCCTGTCCCTCTGTATTCGGCATTTTGTCCCCGAGCGTGTTAACCCTTTCCAGGCGAGCGGCTGCTGAGCTCGGGCTCAGCCTTGTACAGAGTCCGGCCGCTTTCAGCTAAATCTGCACTTTCTAACGTGATCAAAAAGGGAAAAAAAAGTACGGCGAAATCTACACCAAGGGGGATTTTCATGTACAATCCTTGTTTTAAACGTGAGCTTTTTTTCTCTTCTGTCCGAGCTCAGCTGCCCCCGCGGGCTCAGGCGGGGCGGCACCGGGAGGAGGGAGCAGCACGCTGCTGAAACAGATAAAAACCCCCTAAAAATAATAATAACATGAATAATAATGATTATATCGGAGGAGTTTGCAGTAACCTGATGTCTGCTGGTATCTCAGCTCCCTGCTAGTTCCGAACTAACCTTGTGAAGCCTCTGCTTGGAAGCCCGGCCCAGCCCTGTGGAGTAGAGAAGGGGTCAGCAGCCCCTCCGTGCCCCCGGCCCCGCCCGCGGAGGGAGCTCAGCGCTGCCCTTTTCTCACCAAAAAAGCGTTAAACGATGAAATTGGTCCTGCTAAACCAAACCCGAGCTTGGCTCTGTCCCACGGCCGTGTCACACGCCGGGCTCGCCCTCGGACTCGGACGGTGGAAAAAAAAAAAACAGCATCAAGGTCTCGGATTAATTCCCATGCCGACAATTTTTTACTTAATCTTTTAATATTTTTGCTACTCCACTCTGGCTTTTTATTTAAAACACATTCTTTTGTACCACTTACTGTATCAAATTGTATAAAAGATCACTGTCCCATTCTTGGTCGTACCAAGAGCAAATAAAAGCTTTTATAAACTTGCAGCGGTGGTTTCCTGGGCCCTTGAATTCCCTCTGGCTCCGGTGGGATGAGTCCCCCCAAACTTTCCGCGCTGGTTTGGCTGAGGGTGGAGCTGCTGTGCTGCTTTTTCCAGGGCTTTTCCCGAGGGCGGGATGGTGGGAAGGGCAGCGGAGGCTCCGAGGGGTCCCGACGTGGAGCCCCCTTGGAGGGGGGACAACACCAGCATGGGGGGGTGAGGTCTCCTCCCTCGTTTTTTTGGGAAGCAGCAGTTCCAACCCACCCTGGGGATGTCCCCTCAGCAGAGCCCAGCGAGGGACCGGGGATGTCCCCTCAGCAGAGCCCAGCGAGTGTCCCTGACCCCACTGCCACAGTGTCCCCGTTCCCGCAATGTCCTCACTGCCACAGTGTCCCTGTGTCCCCACCGTGTCCCTGTCCCCACAGTATCCCCATGCCGCGGTGTCCCTGCTGTTGCAGTGTCCCTGTGCCCACAGTGTCCCCATGCCACGGTGTCCCTGACCCCACAATGTCCTCGTGCCCACAGTGTCCCCATGCCGCGGTGTCCCTGTGCCCACAGTGTCCCTGTACCCACAGTGTCCCTGTCCCCACAGTATCCCTGTCCCCGCAGTGTCCCCGTTCCCACAGTGTCCCTGTGCCCACAGTGTCCCCGTTCCCACAGTGTCCCTGTACCCACAGTGTCCCCATGGCGCAGTGTCCCTGTACCCACAGTGTCCCTGTGCCCGCAGTGTCCCCGTTCCCACAGTGTCCCTGCTGTCGCGGTGTCCCTGTCCCCACAGTGTCCCCGTTCCCACAGTGTCCCCACTGCCACGGTGTCCCTGCTGTCAGTGTCCCCATGCCGCAGTGTCCCTGTCCCCGCAGTGTCCCTGTTCCCATAGTGTCCCTGTTCCCACAGGTGTCACTGTGCCCACGGTGTCCCCATGCCACAGTGTCCCTATTCCCACAATGTCCCCACTGCCACAGTGTCCCCGTTCCCACAGTGTCCCTGTGCCCACAGTGTCCCTGCTGTCGCGGTGTCCCTGCTGTCGCGGTGTCCCCGTTCCCATGGCGCCGGTATCCGGGAGAAGCCGCTTTCGTGCCGCCGCTGGGCATAAAGCCGTGAGTGTGGCATGGCCGCGGTCCCCGTGGGGAGCAGCTCAGCGATCCCAAATCCTCCCCATCCCCGGCGTGGGAGCCATCCACGCGTGGGGGATTTTGGGGAGCAAAACCTGGCAGGAACCTGTGCCACATGGACGCCATCCAGCAGCTCCCAGTGTCACCCCCGGCAGGGAGGCTTGGGCTTTCCCCATCCTCATCCTCCTCCTCCTCCTCCTCCTCCTCCTCCTCCTCCTGCTGCTGCTGCATCCTCTTTTCTGTCCCCATCCGGCCTCCATCCCCGTCCCTGTCCCCTCTCCTTTCCTACAGCCGTTCCCTCCCTTTCCCTGCTCCTTCCCTGCAGCTGCTCCGCGGTTTTCCCTGTTCCTTCCCCATCCCTGCTCCATCCCCATCCCTGCTCCATCCCCATCCCTGCTCCATCCCCATCCCTGCTCCTTCCCCATCCCTGTTCCTTCCCCATCCCTGTTCCTTCCCCATCCCTGTTCCTGCTCCATCCCTGCTCCTGCTTCGCCCTTTTCACTGTTCCACCTCCGCTCCACCCGCTCCCCGCTCCGCCCTGCCCGGCAGCCTCCCCCTGTGCTTGGCCCGGACAGTGGCGGGGACAGGGGACAGCACACGGTGACAGGGGACAGCACACGGGGACAGGGGACAGCACACGGTGACAGGGGACAGCACACGGTGACACGTCCCCAGGGCCGAGCGCTGCTCCACTCCTTCATCCTCCTCAGCCGGTCTCCATCGGCCAGCAAAGAACCGGGGGTGGGGGACCCACCGTGTCCGCTGTCCCCGCTCAGGGTGGCGGTGATGTCGCTCCTGTGATGTCCCTGTCCCCCTCTCCCGCTGCCGTTTGTGCTCCGCGTCCGTGCGGCAGCGCCGGTTCGGGGGCTCCCGGCGGGGCCATCGGGGTGCGGGGCGGCATCGGGGTCCCCCCGGTCCCCCACTGTGCCCCCCGCAGCCCTCGCTTGGGACCCCCCGGCAGCCCCCCGGGCCCCGGAGCGGCCCCGCCGGGGGGTGCCCGGTCCTGGGGGGTGTCCGGTCCCGAGGGGGTGCCCGGCTCTGGGGGGGTGCCCGGTCCTGAGGGAGTGCCCGTCCCGGGGAATGCCCGGTCCCGAGGGGGTGCCCGGTCCCGAGGGGGTGCCCGGTCCCGAGGGGGTGCCCAGTCCCGGGGGGTGTCCGGTCCCGAGGGGGTGCCCGGCTCTGGGGGGGTGCCCGGTCCTGAGGGAGTGCCCGTCCCGGGGAATGCCCGGTCCCGAGGGGGTGCCCGGTCCCGAGGGGGTGCCCGGTCCCGGGGGGATGCCCGGTCCTGGGGAGGTGCCCGGTCCCGGGGGGATGCCCGGTCCTGGGGAGGTGCCCGGTCCCGGGGGGTACCCGGCTCTGGTGGGGTGCCCGGCTCTGGTGGGGTGCCCGGTCCCGGGGGATGTCTCGCCCGGGGAGGGGTGCCCGGTCCCGCGGGGTGCCCGTCCCGGGGGGATGCCCGGCTCTGGGGGGTGCCCGGTCCCGGGGGGTGCCCGGTTCTGGGGGGTGCCCGGTCCCGGGGGATGTCCGCACGGGGCTCCCCGCCCGCCGCCGCCTCCCCCGCTCCCGCCGGGGGGTTCCGCCTGCCGGGGCGGGCGGGCAGGAGGGGCCGGGGGCGGGCGGGGGGCGGCTCCTCCTGCCCGCCCGGCTCCCGCCGCCCCCCGCCCCCCGCCCCGGCCCCGGCCCGGCGGCGGCGGCGATGGAGCCCGGCCCGGGGCCGGCCTGAGGCGCGATGCGATGGAGAAACTGGCGGCGGGGCTGGCCCGGCTCCGCTGGAGCCCCGCGGCGCTGCCCCTCGATGCCATCGTCAGCCAGTGCCGCCTGCCCACCCTCGTCTGCCTCGGGCAGGGTGAGCCCCGCGGGGGAGGACACCGGGGGGGTGAAGTCCGGAGGGACGAGGAGGAGGAGGAGGGAGGGAGGTTGGAGTGATGGGGAGGAGGAGGAGGAGGGTGGGAGGAAGGCTGGAGGGAGCAGGGGAGGGAGGGAGGATGGAGGGACGGAGTGAGGCTGGAGTGATGAGGAGGAGGGAGAAAGGATGGAGTGATGAGGAGGAGGGAGGGGTGGAAGGCGGAGGGATGGGGAGGGAGGGAGGAAGGCTGGAGAGTGAGGAGGAGGAGGAGGGAGGTTGGAGTGATGAGGGAAAGGGAGAGACGAAGGACGAAGGGACCGGGAAGAGGGAGGGAGGAAGTCTGGGGGGACGAAGAGGAGGGAGGGAGACCGGAGTGATGAGGAGCGGGGAGCTGTAGAGGGGTGGGGAAGTGAGGAAGGCTTGAGAGTGAGGAGGAGGAGGGGAGGAAGGCTTGGAGGAAGGGATGGAGAGTGGAGGGATGAAGAGGAAGACAGGAAAGACGGAGAGGCAAGAAGGAGCGGTGGCTGGAGAAGTGAGGAAGAGGAGGGAGAGAGGAGGGCTGGAGGGAGGAAGAGCAGGCTGGCAGAGGCTGAAGGGATGAGGAGGAGGAAGATCGGCGGCACCAGGAGGAGGAAGGAGCCTGGAGTGCTGAGGAGGAGGAGGGAGGGAGGGAAGGAGGAAGGCTGGGGCCAGGTGAGCCCGAGCTGCTGTCCCGGCTCCGGGGCTGCTCTGGTCGGATCTGGGGCCGGGGGCTGCTCCTCAAGGGGTCCCTGGGCTCCTGTCCTGAGGGGATGCGAGGGGGGAATTTGGGGGGCCCAGGCATGGCCCGGCACTTTCCCCACTGTCACCCTCCCCAGGTGACACTCTGGAGGTGCTGGCAGGGGGTGGCAGGGGCGGGGAGCCACCGTGTCCCCTCCCCACCCTCCCTGGGACACGGCCCGGCTGGGGGGCCTGGCTGGGACCTCCCCGCCCCCCGGGCTGAGTGGGGAGCAGGGGGGGTGGGGAGGGGAGCTGGGGCAGCGGGGATGGGGGGAGGAGGAGCTGGGGGGAGCAGGGGGTGCAGGGGATGGGGGGAGCAGGAGCTGGGGGTGTGGGGAGCAGGGGATGTGGGATGTGGGGACGAGCAGGGGCTGTGGGGGTGTGGGGCTGTGGGGAGCAGGGGGTGTGGGGAGCAGGGGGTGCAGGGGATGTGGGGAGCAGGAGCTGGGGGTGTGGGGAGCAGGAAATGGGAGATGTGGGGAGCAGGAGCTGTGGGGAGCAGGGGATGGGGGGAGCAGGGCATGGGGGGTGTGGGAATGTGGGGAACAGGAGCTGTGGGGAGCAGGGTGTGTGGGGAGCAGGGGGTGCAGGGGATGTGGGGAGCAGGGTGTGCATGGGGGTGTGGGGAGCAGGGGATGTAGGGAACACGGGGTGCAGGGGATGTGGGGAGCAGGGGTTATGGGGCTGGGGGGAGCAGGAGCTGTGGGGATCAGGGGTTGTGGGGCTGTGGGGAGCAGGGGTTGTGGGGCTGTGGGGATCAGGGGGTGCAGGGGCTGTGGGGCTGTGTGGAGCAGGGGATGGGAGCTGTGGGGAGCAGGGGCTGTGGGGAGCAGGGGGTGTGGGGAGCAGGGGGTGTGGGGCTGTGGGGAGCAGGGGCTGTGGGGCTGTGGGGAGCAGGGGGTGCAGGGGATGGGGGTGTGGGGAGCAGGGGTTGTGGGGCTGTGGGGTGCAGGGGGTGCAGGGACCCCCGCCCGGCCGTGTCCCCCCCACCCGGAGCAGGGCCCATCCCGGGGGTGCCGTGGGGCTGTGGGGAGCAGGGGCTGTGGGGCTGTGGGGAGCAGGGGTTGTGGGGCTGTGGGGAGCAGGGGCTGTGGGGCTGTGGGGAGCAGGGAATGGGAGCTGTGGGGAGCAGGGGGTGCAGAGACCCCCGCCCGGCCGTGTCCCCCCCACCCGGAGCAGGGCCCATCCCGGGGGTTCTCGAAGGCTCCGGGGGGGCTGCGCCGGCCCCGACTCAATAAACTTCTTGTTTGCGGCCGCTGCAGCTTTTCAGGGGGGACAAAGAAATTGTTT